CATCCATGTTACTTTGTGTGTAGGCAGCTGAAGGTGTAGGGAAGTCTGTTACCACTCCAAGCAAGGCTTAGCTGACAGAGACATGATTTTTCAAAGACAAATCTTTGTAAGAAATCAGGGAAAGAAGCTGGGCAGTGACGATGCACACCTTTAATGCCAGCATTCAGGAGGATGTCCGGGTTCAAGGACAGCCTGGTCTACACAGTGAGTTCCAGGATGGCCAGGGGCACATAGAGAAACGCTGTCTGGGAAAAAAACAAAACAAAACATAAAAGAAAAAAAGAAACCAGGGAGGGGATTTTAAGTGCCTCAGAGCACAGCTGTGGTCAAAGCAGGACTCATTTTTGGGACACCCCCTGGTCTCCTCCCTTGACTCTACATGGGGAAACCCAGAAAGCTCCAGTTCTAGGCCTGGGCCCTTCCATTGCCCACTTCCCCTTCAGGGCTACCCCACTGAAGTTAGCTTGGCCACAGAGTCTCACATCACACTATGTGATCTGGACAACTCATTCCTTCCAGGACTCTCTGAGGAAAGGCGCCATCGTTATCCCTACCTCACAGGCAGGGATGCCAGGAGTGGGGGTCGGGGGCAGGGTGGGAGACGTGGAGCGTTTTGCCCACTCACACAAGTGGCAAGAGGCAGAGGTGAGAGAAACCAAGCTATGACATCAAAGGCACAGAATTAAAGGAGAGGGCGGAGCATGGAACCTAGAATTGCTGAGGCAGAGAAACAGCCCAGCCAATGGCCTGCTCTGGCAGCAGACCTCAAGAGAAACAGGTTTAGGAGCAGCAGAGTAATATAGAGAGAGAACAAAATGAAACACACCAGCGGTGGGCACCTCTGTGTTTGTGGCAAACGTGTAGTAATAAGGATGGGAGAACCGAATCAGACCATTGCAGACTTTGGTCTGCATTTTGATGATCTTCAGGGCAAAGCTGAACACTGACTTTGAAGCCTGAAAATGCAAGGAATTCTACCACATAGCCCTGCGAGAAAACCAAGAGCCTGAGACGTTAGTGCTCCCATTTCCGAATAGGCTGGTGTAACCATCTTGACAGAAACAAAGGTTTTCTCAGGAGCCACTCGGGCCCCTCGTCTGGGCTATCACACAATTGAAGTCGTGAATTGTCAGCTAGAATGAGAAGCCTGGAGACGTGGAGCGTTTTGCCCAGTTACACAAGTGAGAGGTGAGCGAAACCAAGCTATGACATCAAAGGCACAGAATTAAAAGAGAGGGCGGAGCATGGAACCATGGGGCCAGCTAAAGGAGGATTTATTTCCTGGAAAGAGAATTCACAGATTTCTGATAACTTGTCAAACAACCTTTCAGGACACACTGGGATCCAGACAATGGCATGTCAGTGTTGGACGGGGCCTGTGCCTCAGCCAGGACTACTTAGTTATGCATGCCTCTTACCCTCCACTTGAACATAAACCTCATGTCAGCATCCTGAGGACGGACTTGTGGAGGATGGTTGCTGGGTCTCTTGATTTGTTTGTCTTCCCACACAGAGAAGCTCTCCTTTCTCATCATGACATATCTGTTCATTTGCCTACTGAGGACAGGTGGCCAAGCCCAGCTTGTTGGGGCTGCCAGGACCCAGGCTCTAATGCTCACAGTTCTGGTAACATCCATCCATCTTAACAAACCTTCATTCAGCTAGACTTTCACAGGCTCTTGAACCTTCCCAGAAGCCCCTCATATATAGCCTGTTTTAGCAACGACCCATCTAAGTACAAAGGAACCTCCACCCCACCTGTTGGATCATCATTTAGACCCAACCAGGCTTTTCTTGTTCCCCATCCTCTAGAAGTAGGGCCAATCTGCCCACCTTCAGCCAGCACGCCGTTAGATCATTCATCTACTAGCCCCCACCTTGCTATAAATTCCCATCTGTGCAAGTTGAGTTGAGATTGCCAGTTCTGTACTTGAGAGCCCAATGGCTGCAATGTTTCTGAACTGAATCTGTTTTAACCCTACAAACCACCACCCCACTTTTACCTTCTCAAGGCTCTGAGTTGGAGATGGGACACGAAATCCAACTCCTTCCCTGCTTTCTATTTAAGGTGCAGAGGCCTAGATATGATGCCCCAAAGGCAGCAGCAGGCTGGAGGGAAAGGCACATAGGACAAAAGAGCAGAGCAGATTCCAAACAGCTGCTGAGCAAGCTCCAGTCTCCCCTCTCCCCTCCAAAATAACCCTCAGGCACCCTGCTGTGAACTGGTATTTTCTCCACAGGGCCCTGGGCATGCCCCCTTCTGAGCACTTTCCAATCCTAGAACTAAAACTCGCTCAAGGCACGTGGGTCCCTAAATGTACAGAGGGAAGTAACATGTGGTGGCCTAGTCCCAAAGTCATAACTCTCAGTAAGAGGCAGAGGTATCCTGAAACCCCAGCCCATCAGTTTGTGGCCTACTGGTCAACCTTCTCTTGGGGTCACAAACACACCCAGCATCATGTGGCCCCAGAGACACTGTGAAGGTCACATTCCCCTGGCCATATGAAAAGTGACCCAGGTTCTTGGGGGAACAGGAGACAACCCAAACAACCCCATCCCTTTTGAGTCATCAAAGGACACAATGTACTTCAGTGGTTTGGAAAAACCACAACACTCCCCATCCTCTTTGAGAACCCCGCCCCACCCCGATTCCACAGCCTTTTCCCATCTCCACATCTCTACTCTCATACTCGGGGGAACAACTCCCAGAATTCCTTAAAATCCTTCTGCTTGGGGCTGGAGAGATGGCTCTGTGGTTGAGAGCACTGGCTGCTCTTCCAGAGGACCCGGGTTCAGTCCCCAGCACCCACACGGCAGCTCACACCTGTCTGCAACTCCAGTTCCAGGGCTTCTGATGCCCTCACACAGACACATGCAGGCAAAACCACCAATGCACACAAAAACAAATTATATATTCAGACAACCAAACCCAGAGGCTCTGCTTTCCTGGGTGCATAGTTGACTATGTTTCATGGTATCCCCTGCAGTTAGGTTTGGTCATGTGACTGAGTTCTAGCTAACAAAATATGGGTACAGGACACACCTAGACTCTTTTCCCAGTCCACACGGTTACCTTGGACTCAACCCTAAAATATGGAAGTCATGCTGAAGGGAGCAGAGCCGTGGGGTGCCTACGGGGGGAGGAGGGGGCCCTAAGGGAGGCACATCTTCTTGCTTGTGCTTGGAAATTAGCTTCCTGCAGCTTTAAGTCACTTCTTGGTATTGTGGCAGTTGGCTGATTTCCACATGGCACATCCCTCATGACAGTAAAAACCTTTTCCACTTCTGTCTCCTTAATCTTACTTGACACCCTAAGAGGCAGGTGCTGTGTGTTCCTGTCATGAGAAGCAGCACCTGTGCTGTATAGAGACACACATTCTCTGTATAGCCCTGGCTGACCTGGCACTCAATCTGTACACCAGGCTGGCCTTGAACTCCGAGATCTGCCTGCCTCTGCCCCCCCCCCCCCCCAGCCCCTGAGTGCTGGTATTAAATGCATTCGCTGCCACTGCCTGGGCTTGGGGCACACAAATTTTGTTCATGTGGTTTGAGTTGCTGGGAAGACCCTTTCCTTCTGCCTTACTTTCCTTCTATAGAAAATCAGCCTTTTATTAGACGAACACAAACACCTTTACACATTCAGACCTAACCCTAAAGCTTCCTCCTCTTAGATGCCCTCATATAGTAGATATTCTTCCCAGTTTAAGAAGGGTCTGGACCTGCCACATCCAACAGGCATCCCCTGGCAGTAACAGCAGTAACCACAGAACAAGCAAAGCCTATTGGTCTTGCTCTAGCATAGCCTCCAGCCGGACTGGCCCCCCTTATTCACCTATGTAGATTCTCAGGGTCTTGAAAAGCAGACACCCAAGAGTACTTACCTCATTCTGCTGTTGACCTAGGGTAACGAGCTTCAGGGAACACCCTAGAATGGTTCCTATGGGTGTTAGCTCGTGCTTGGAATAGCCTATGGATTCTTGTCACAGGCTTCTCAGATTTCAAAACCTAACACATGAACACATGGCCTTTGAAAGGAGGCAGAAGCTGGTTCAAAACAAGGGAGCCTAGGTCAGAAGAGGTCTAAAACTCCAAGACGTCTTCAACGGTACAGAGCCACTGTGGAATCCAGGCATAGTGGTATGTACTTCTCATAGTGGCAGCAGAAAGGCTGAGGTAGGGAAACCATGAGTTTGAGGCCAGCCTGGATTAAAGACCCCCAAACAGGTTCCCCACAAACCCATGTCTGTTCTGGTAGCCCTGTGGACACCCAGGAGTTTTGCCTTTGGAAGTGCTTGCCCATGTGATCCTAACAAAGGCTCTGGGATAGAGATAGGACAGTGACTGTTTGTTTCATTTGATGGGAGAAAAAGCTGAATTTCAGAGAGGCGATATGACACACGGCAAATCATGGCTGGAACATGTAGTAATATGTCATTGGAACCCAGGGCCAGACACCTCATTCCTTCCCCTTTTTCTGTCATCCTTTGTGCTCAGCAAACAAGAGAGAACTTGGCATGGCTACTGGAAAGCAAAGCCTACAAGCTGTGAGCAGGGAAAGTAAATAGTAACTGTGACTTTGCTTAATGTTTTGAAACAGGCCCCTTCTAATTGGACACTTTGTGACCTGACACTCACTGTGTAGCTGGCTGGGCAGGCCTTCAAGGTGCAGTGAATCTTCCTGCTGCTGTCTCCTAGGGGACAGAATTGCCAGTATGTGCTTCTATGTCTGGCAATTTTGATATCTGTGTGATAGGCTAAGTTTAAAAAAAAAAAAAAAAAAAAACCTTGGTCAAGTTCTAGTCCCTGTAATGTGGGCACAGGAGACACACCAACATGGGTATCCTCCCAAATGCTTACCTAATCCAAACTGCTACCTTAGAGCCAATCCTAAAAATGATTTTCCCTAGTCTAGTTTCAAACACAGGGATAGAATGTACGCATGTGTGGTACGCAGGTTCTGCTGCTGTGTCTTGGACGGGGGAGGTGAGGTGACAACTTACCAGACTTTTCTTCTTTGATGGGGTACTCCAGCACCTCGGTTGAGCTGTCCTTCAGGGAAGGGAAGTGGACACACAGAACCAGTTGCTTCAGGCTGCTGTCCCGGCACACCAGGAACATCTGAAATGGCAGAAGGAGGGGTCCTGTGAATCAGAGGCTTTGAGGGGCAGCAGCAGGGTAGGAATCATCCAGAGGATATCTGAAGCAAACATCCGGGGAAGGTGGTCACCCATCCCTTGAGAAAAGTGAACCTGACCCACATTTGAGATCTTCAAGTCTCCATTCCTCACTTGCACTGAGCCCACACATTGGCTGATGCACAGGGATGGAGGGGGATTCTGTATGAGGGTGGTCCGGGATCCAGGCTCAGAAAAGCCTCGGTAGTTGGGAGTTGGTTGAATTTCAGAACTTTTTTTTTTGTTTTGTTTTTTTTGTTTTTGTTTTTTTGAGACAGGGTTTCTCTGTGTAGCCCTGGCTGTCCTGGAACTCACTCTGTAGACCAGGCTGGCCTCGAACTCAGAAATCCTCCTGTCTCTGCCTCCCAAGTGCTGGGATTAAAGGCCAGCGGGAGTTGGTTGAATTTCAATTCATGCTCTAGCACCCAGCTCTTTTGGGGGAGCGGGTGAGAAGGGAATGGGGAGTGTCTGTTGAAAACAAGTTTAGGTATCGGGAAGTTTATACTTTTTTTCCCTTTGTAAAAATAAAAGTAGCTAATATTTTGTTTGGACCTTATGTACTGAGGATTGAGCACAGGGCCTCCTGTGTGCTAAGCAAGATGCTTCCACTATGTGCCAGCCCGCCCTTCATTCACTGTTCTTCATTCTGAGACAAGGTCTCATTGAATCATGGAGTGGCTCCACTCCTCGCGGTCCCCAGAGGCATGGCCTCCCAGGTGCAAATGCATGGAGTGGCCTCTCCTCTGTTACAAACTGCTGTTTTATAATGTCCTTTTCGGGCTCAGCTGCCCCTTCCCAGGCTCACTCTTCCTTCCCAGATGACACTCTCTGGAATGTTCCTAGCTTCCTCAAACATTCTGTCAAGGGAAGGAAAGTGCTTGGTCAGTGTCCCCATACCCTCCATCCTCATTCTGTCCCTGAACTCTGTCTCCTGGGCTCAGGTCCCAAACAGCTCAGCTAGAAATCCCCAAACTAGGAATGGGGCCAAACTGTTGAGGGCTGGCTGGGGCACAGGGATCCTAGGACATCCCCAAGTGTGAGGACATGACCCCAAATGTGAGAGGTTCTGGAGAAGACCTCTCCTTATTTTGCTGCCATGACTACTGGTTATTAATCCCACCATGACACTGCCAGGTCACCTTAGGCATGAGTGTAGTGTCAGTAATTAAACACACAGTGAGCCCATCGTTCCTGGTCCACAGCAGCTATGAATGCAGTGTTGCAATAAAACACACAGTGAGCTCACTGCTCCTGGTCGATGGTAGCTGGCATGGATTGTCTCCCCAGTAGGCTGCAAGCCTGAACTTCTCATACTAAATTTACAAGGGGTGTGGTAATGAGGAAACCAAGGAGAGCCAGGCAATGCTTAAGGTGGAACAGGAGATGCCAGAGATGGGTTTGAACTCAGGTCCTTGGACTCCAGATCCCAGGCCTGATCTTCCCCTGTCTCGCACCAGGCTCTTGAAGGTTGCTTTGCCATGAGCATGCATGGCTCATGTGAAAGTTAGACAAGGTGGGAAATGGGAGATCAGTTTCTCTCTCTTCCCCTGGGCAGGGTGGAGAACCGGAACATGAGAACCGGAAGCAGAAGTGGGGAGAAGAGGAGTGGCTGGTCTGTTTCCTTGCTTCTAGATGCTTCTATTAGACTTTCCTCCCTGCCTAGAGACAATGGGTGAGACATTGAACCTGAACTGTCCCAAGGATGTCTCTCAAATACGAAGCCACTTTGTTTCCTCTACAAGTTCAAGGTCAGCTTGCCTCTTTGCCCACAGATCCATGGGAGCCAGTGGGGCTGGAGGAAATCCTTGTGAGTGAATGAATGAGTGGGCGTGCCTTAATATGAAATACAGCTGGTCTTTGTTTCCAATTCTTGGTACAGAGCTTCGAAACCCTGGGAATTTCCTGAGGCAGGGGCATCTGTTATTTGTAAGAACTTTTCCAGACCAGGCATAGTGTTATGCTAACAGGAATCTCTTAGGGCCTTAGTTTCAGAGGAAGGCTGAACAGAGATTTCAGGCCAGTCCTGCCCTGACCTGGGGGGAGGTGAGCAGAGTTCAGATGGGTACCCTTACACAGCCTGAGGTTTCATTCCTGTCTAGGTAATGAAACCTCAGTAAAATGCTGCTGGCTAGATCTGGTAGCACATGTCGAAAGTCTAGCGTTTCTGTCCTCCTACGTGTCTCTGTAAACTAAAAAAGTGATAGGGTGTACAGGGGGCTCCTGGGCAGGAAAATCAGACAGCCTTGATTCCAAGCTGCAGACCTCAGGCCTTAGCTCTGAGTGGAGAGAGACCAGGGCAAGCAATGTGGAAAGCAGGTGACAGAAGCAGGCACTGGAGCCTCTGATCACTTCTGGATGCTCAGCAGGGGGACTTGCCACACTACCAAAGTACCTGCTTCTGAGACTAAACAGGCTACTATCAGACCTCAATGGTCCTCACTAACCTGACCTGACATCTGGTGTCTGGCTTCTCTGCTTTTCTTCTTTCTCCCAACAAAATCCGCTAGGAAGCTTCACACTTCCCCAAAGCAGAATGGCCTTCCCCCAACAATGTTAGCCACTGAGCTGTGTGCCGCACTGGGGTCTAATATCTGTGAACAGCTAGGATTCTTCCATCTGAACTCTGAAGTAGACAGTAGTGACAGCCCCTGGGCTAAGTCAGGATGGTTGTATCCTTCTAAATTCCAATGCAGAGCTGCTCTGGGTTGTCAGGGAGGCCGCTTGCCCTCTCTGAGAGGCTTTGTAGGGAGGGAGACAAAATGAAGGATTCCAAGCTTTCTTTTTAGAAAATGTTCTTCTGTCTCCAGCGTCTTGGGGGCCTTCACAGCTCCCCCCACCCCAAGAAGGTTACAAAAGAGTTCATTTGCCAGGCGGTGGTGGCGCACGCCTTTAATCTCAGCACTTGGGAGGCAGAGGCAGGTGAATTTCTGAGTTCGAGGCCAGCCTGGTCTACAGAGTGAGTTCCAGGACAGCCAGGGCTACACAGAGAAACCCTGTCTCGAAAAACAAAAACAAAAACAAACAAACAAACAAACAAAAAGAGTTCATTTTGTGATAAATTAAGGCAATCCCTGAGGCTGGTGCGGATGTCTCGGGACCCTTCCCTGTCTATCTTGGCCAGTATGGGGTATTTTTGTTGTTTTTTGTTTTGACACAGTGTCTTGCTAGGTAGTCCAAGCTGGACTGAAACACGCTATGAAGTCCAGCATAACACCGAATTTGTAATGATACTTCTGTTTCAGCTTCCTGAGTACTGTGATTGAAGGCATGTACAACCACAGATCACACCCTTTCCAGGATGTCTGTTTTGGTTTTCTGAGACAGGGTATCACTGTGTAGCCCTGGTGGTCTTGAACTCACAGAGATTCACCTGCCTCAAACTTGCTCCCCAAGTGCTGAGATAGGATAGGATGGGTTTGAACAGACCAATGTCTTCAGGAATAGTTAGGATAGGAAAAAAAAGACTCAGGTAAAGAATTACAGCCACAGCAACCCTCTCAAACTAATAGATAAAACCCAGAATCTCCATGCACTCTAAATGACTGTGCTTTTACCCTTCATTTTGGACCTAAACAATTAGAGCTGCTTATAGTTGGAGGAATTTCCCATGATGCCCATGGTGATGCATCTAGTTTGGCAAAGGCCAGACCCACAGGACTAGGTAGACAGCCCAGTGGCCATCCTGGGCTCATGTAGCTTTGGTGGTTCAACTGTAGCTCAAAATCCTTTCACCTGGGGCTCCCACCCCAACAGAGCTGGAAGTTGATGCAGAATATCCGAGACCTGGATATGGACTGAAGGACGCATTGCCCAAGATTCATTGATGAGCTATGGGGAACTTGCAGCTCACAACTCCTCTGACTTACAACCTGGCCATGGGGAGGCCCAGGCAGCATTTCTCAAGGCTGGCCACAGCTCATTGCCACCTGGGGAGCTTTTAAAGCACACCTCTTTCAGAGGGCAGAAACACAACTTGGTGCCAATGGAGGGATTAGCTTCTCAAGAACTGAAGGGAGAGATCCAAATGCCCCAGTCCCACACAGAATGTCCCCACTCTTGGCCCAGCAGGTCTGGGGATGTGGTTAGATGTCCTAGTCCCACACAGAATATCCCCACTCATGGCTCAGCAGGTCTGGGAAGAATCATAGCTTCTTAAGACAAGCCAAAGGAATAAGCATTTGGACTGGGGGCTGAGACACACTTAGTTTTTAGGCCTCTGAGGGTAGCCAGTGGTAGAATCGAGCAAGGCACCACACACCTGGAAGTCACACCCAGGCCCAGTGTTCCCCATGTAGGGATGTTTCCTAAGGATGGATGCAGTGTGTGTCACTGTTCTACTGGGATGAAAAAGGGGAAACAGGGCTTCCCTGTGTTACCAAAGAAACTGCCTGAATGCAATCAGCTGCCCTTGTGATCTACGGAACCATCGTCTGCCAGCCCATCTGACTACATGCATTACCATAGCTCTCAAGCTAAATCCTCACGACCAAAGATAAACGCACAAGAAGCTTCTCTCTGCTTCAGACACTGATGACCGTCTTTTAAGGGCTAGTGAGATAGCTTAGAAGGGAAAAGCACTTGCCCCCAAACCTGATGACCTGAATTCCTGATAACCAAAACCTACCCGGTGGAAGGAATGAACCAATTCTTACAAGTTATCATCTGATCTCTACATTCTCACCGGGGCAAGTGTGCCCCATTCCGTTAATAGATAATTTTTTAAAAAATCTATCATCTGGAAGTGATGACAGTTTAATAGCAACCGATCCAGGTCACACACAGACAGACCTTGGCTTCTAGGAGAGTTCCTTAATCAAAGGAAGCAGGAATGTTTGGAGACACAGGAAGTGTCTGGTCCTGGGCTGAGGGCAGAGTATACAAGATAACAGTATCATCTATGACCAGAAAACAAGAAAGTGATTCAAACGGAAAGGAGGTGGTGAC